ATATATTATTATACATTATTAGCGTAATTTTAGTTTAATTAAAAATTAGAATACAAATATACTATACTAATATACTATTATATTATTTTCATTGTATATAAATTACAAAATTAATAATTTGTATACTATACTATACTAATATATTATTTGTATATTATACTAATAGTATAATATACTATATTATAATATTATTTGTATACAAAACTAATATCTTTATATAAAAATATGGAAAGATATAAATATATGTAAAAATATAAAGATATAAATATATGTAAAAATATAAAGATATAAATATATAAAGATATAAATATATAAATATGTAAAGATATAAATATATATCTTTAATATTTTGTACATGTAAATATAATTTATATATATTTTTAAACCTTTTTATAATATTTATTTTCAAAAATAAAATATTATATTAAAATTTAATATTTAAATTTTTAATTTTTTTCTTAAATATATAAATATATAAAAATACAAATAAATATATAAATATATAAATACATATAAATATGTAAATATATAAATATATAAATAAATTAATATATTAATATATTAATATATAGATATATAAATATATAAATATGTAAATATATAAATATAAAAAATATATAAATATGTAAATATATCAATATATCAATATTTAAATATATATTAAAATATATAAATATATTTGTATCTATAGATTTTATAAATATATAAAGATATAAATATATAAATATATGTAAAGATATAAAGATATAAATATATGTAAAGATAGAAAGATATAAAATATAAATATATAAATATGTAAAGATATAAATATATATCTTTAATATTTTGTACATGTAAATATAATTTATATATATATTTTTAAATCTTTTTCTAATATTTATTTTTAAAAATATAATATTATTTTTAAAATTTAATATAATATTTTTATTTTTTAAATATATAAATATATAAAGATATAAATGTATAAGGATATAAATAAATATATAAATATATCAATATATAAATATATCAAAATATAAATATATAAAAATATAAATATATTAATATATAAATATATAAATATATATATATATATATATATATATATATATATATATATATATAAATATATCAATATATCAATATTATCCCCTCATATATTATTATACATTATTAGCGTAATTTTAGTTTAATTAAAAATTAGAATACAAATATATTATATTATATTAATATATCATTATATTATAATATTTATAATTTATTTTTATTGTGTATAAATTACAAAACTAATATTTTTTTAAAAAATTAATGATAATATTTTTAACTTATATATTACAGAATATTTTTTAATACTTTAATAAATATAACTTTTTTAAATATTTTCATTAATTTAAAGTATAACTTTTAATATTTTTTAGTATTTTTTTAAATGTGGATATCTTTAATATTTTGGACATATAAATATAATTTATACATGTTTTTAAACCTTTTTCTAATATTTGTTTTTAAAAATATAATATCATTTTTAAAATTTTATAGATTTATATTTATATATTTATAAAAGTAATTGGATTAAATTTATTATCCCCTCATATATTATTATACATTATTAGCGTAATTTTAGTTTAATTAAAAATTAGAATACAAATATACTATACTAATATACCATTATATTATTTTTATTGTATATAAATTACAAAATAAATAATTTGTATACTATACTATACTAATATATTATTTGTATACTATACTAATATAAATATATAAATATAAAATCTATAAAATTTTAAAAATGATATTATATATTTAAAAACAAATATTAGAAAAAGGTTTAAAAACATGTATAAATTATATTTATATGTCCAAAATATTAAAGATATCTACATTTAAAAAAAATATTAAAAGTTATACTTTAAATTAATGAAAATATTTAAAAAAAGTTATATTTATTAAAGTATTAAAAAATATTTTGTAATATATAAGTTAAAAAAATTATCATTAAATTTTTAAAAATTATTAGTTTTGTAATTTATATACAATGAAAATAATATAATGGTATATTAGTATATAAATATATAAATATATCAATATTTAAATATATATTAAAATATATAAATATATTTGTATTTATAGATTTTATAAATATATAAAGATATAAATATGTATATATATATATATATATATATATATATATATATATATATATAAAGACATAAATATATAAAGATATTAAGATATAAATATATAAAGATATAAATAAATATATTAAAATATTAATATATAAATATTTAAAATATATAAATATATGTAAAGATATAAAGATATAAAATATAATGATATAAAGATATAAATATGTAAAGATATAAATATATATCTTTAATATTTTGTACATGTAAATATAATTTATATATATTTTTAAATCTTTTTGTAATATTTATTTTTAAAAATATAATATTATTTTTAAAATTTATTAGTTAATTTTTTTTTTCAAATATATAAAGATATAAATGTATAAGGATATAAATAAATATATAAATATATCAATATATATATATATATTAAAAATATAAATATATTAATATATAAATATATATCTATATACTATCTATCTATCTATCTATCTATATATATATATATATATATATATATATATATATATATATATATATATATCAATATATCAATATTATCCCCTCATATATTATTATACATTATTAGCGTAATTTTAGTTTAATTAGAATACAAATATATTATATTATATTAATATACCATTATGTTATAATATTTGTAATTTATTTTTATAGTGTATAAATTACAAAATTAATAATTTGTATACTATACTAATATATAATTTGTATACTATATTAATAGTATAATATATTATATTATAATATTATTTGTATATAAATATAATTTATTTGTAAGTTATTATTGAAAAAATCCTAGTAGCTCAATGGTTGGAGTTTCAGCTTCCAATTCTAAGGTACCAGTGTTTGAATCTTGATAATGACAATAACCTAATAATAAGTTAAACTTTTAAAAAATATAATATAATTAAGAGGTAGGGGAAATAAATAATAAATATAATTAAAAATGTAAATAAATAAAAATAATTAACTTTGTTATTAATTTAGCGACCGATTTAAATCGATCGCTATTTTTTTAATTTTGTCATTGATTTAGCGATCGATTTAAATCGATCGCTATTTTTTTAACTTTTTCATTGATTTAGCGATCGATTTAAATCGGTCGCTATTTTTTTAACTTTGTCACCGATTTAGCGACCAATTTGATATATTAATTTCGGTCGCTATTTTGCGACTCAAATAAAATCGGTCGCTATTTCGCGATCGAAATAAAATCGGTCGCTATTTTGCGACCGAAATAAAAATTGGTCGCTAACACATTAGCGACTTGGCTTTTTGCGACGACGCTTTCGGTCGCTAACCGATTAGCGACCAATTTTTTGACATTAGCGACCAATTTTTTCGGTCACTAAAATGTTTTTTTCTTGTAGTGTTATTTAATTACGATCATTATAATTTATTTTAATTTGTATAAATAGAATTATTAAAATATTGGTGGATTATAATAGTAGCTACGGTAAAAATAAATAATAATAGTAATACTGAAATATTTTTATAATAATAATCGTAATAAAAATAAGTAATAGTAGTATATTTTTATTATTAAAAATAATAATAATTGTTAAATATAATTTAATATCAATATTAATATTAAATAAATAAATAACAAAACTTATATATTCACAAACATAAATTAATATAAAATAAATAACAAGACTTATACAATAAATTTTACTATTTCTATCATATATTAAATATTGAATCGCAATAATTAATATAACATTACTAAACCATATATAAAATATATAAAAGTTATAGATAAATAAGTCAAATTATTATCATAAATAATAAATATAAATAAGATTCTAAAAAATATAGAGTCTGACTCTTTAATAAAAATAATAAAAATAAAATATGGTAAACACCCAATTTAATCTATATTTTAAAATAAATTATAAATTTTTTATAATTTGATTTTATGTGAAAGTAATAAACTCACCTATCAATTTTGTCTCGATTAAAATTTCATATATTTATATTAAAATAATAAATTAAAAAATTTAAATAAAAATAAAAAATAAAAAATATTTTTAGAAATTAAATTATATTAATAAACTAAATTTTTATTTTTATATAATAATTTAACATATATTATAAAAATAAATTTATTCAATTTCAAAATAAAAATTAAAAACCTATTATTCATTATTATTATTTATTTTTCTTTTTAATTTATCTTAGATCTTATAATAAGTTAATATTAGAAACATAAGTTTACATCTATTCTCAAAATTACTAAATCATGTATTAAATTAATTTATTTTATATATATAATAATAAAATAATATTTTTTTTATTATAAAAATAATTATATTATTTTATAAAAGTTGTTTAAGTCTATAAATTAGTTTGATCTTAAGTCATGATTTAAATAGACATAATTTAATTTAAATTATAATTTTTTTTATCTATCCTATTTTATTTCTCATATATTTTAGATCATACTATCTTGGCCCCATTTTTTTCTCTCTCCTTCCCACTTGGTCTCACTTTCTTTTTCCTAGTATAAACTTTTCATATTTTAGACCTAACTACTAGGAGTCCTATCATTGCGTATCTTCTAATGTTGTTGTCTTTGTTTGGTGAAGTTTTTATTGTAAAATTTGTTTTGATGAATGTTTTTGTGACTTCAGTTCCTAAATCACATTCAACCTTTACATGATTATTTTTAAGTTTCCAAAGACATACACGCTATTCTTTTTTTCTCTTGTTTTCAGCTGTAAACTGACATTAAGTTCACATGACCTGCAGGTTGCCATGTTTGTTGTTTTACCAATGGTATTGTGCCGGAAGCCTGATGCTCTTATTACCGTGTTGCCTACATTGAGGGAGAATACAAAAGTATCAAGGGCAAGATAAGCTTCCAGTGATTGTATGGATGATATCTCAGGTGAGGGATAGATGCCAAAAATAACAAGAGATCTTATAAGAAATCCCCTAAAAACTGAGTTGTTTGAGTTTTAAGGGAGAACCTTATCATTTCATTTTCCCTTCATTTTGTTAATGCTTAGTATTTCTTTCTAGGCCTCTGTAGGAGATCTCTCAGTAGGTTTGTATGCTTGGTCACGAAATCTCCTACCCATAGTGATTGGCAAAAGTGGTAACCCCCAATCCAGGGATTTGGTTTTGCAGCTGATGGAAAAGTATGAAAGCATAATTACCTTATTTTTTTCACATCTCCATCTCATCTTTGCTATTATCATCACCATTGTGCTGTCTGTGATTTGGTGGCAGAATTTTGTCTACCCCAAAAGCCCGGCCTGTTCTAGTAAATAGTGCTGTGAGAAAAGGGGAACGATTAATTCCTCCTCCTGCATTTGAAATTTTGCTCCGGGTTACTTTCCCTCCATCTTCAACTAGAGTAAAGGTAGATATGTTCAGCAGGATTTATATGTTTGTATATAATTGTATCATAGCTCAAAATCTTCAAAATATATGTAAGTATGCTACATTTATATAGGCTACTGAAAGATTTGAGGCCATATATGCCATTCTGAAAGAGGTGGCTCTTGGAGGTTCTTCTCGAAGTAAAGCAATGAAACAAGTTTCGCTGCAGATATTCAATTTTGCTATCAAAGCAGCTGGAGAAAGTACGCAAACCTGATTTTATTATTTTATTTGTGTCTCTTTCTCATATTTAATGAAATAAATGTTGTGTATTCTAAAAACATGCTGTATTTTTCAGACAATCCCGAGTTATCAAAAGAAGCAGTTGGTATTTCTGATAGTATTTTAGGAAGGATAGGAAAGATAGTTTGGTGTTTAGTAGTGAGATTTGTGTAGAAAATAATTTTTAGAAAGAGGTGGACAAATAGGAGAAGGTTTGTATGAGGGAAGATAATAATTGATGTTAGAAGTGTTACAAGATATGTAGGAGCTTGTATTTATTTATAGGCTTTATTTACAATATTCTAGAATTTTCTACTAATTTCATTGTTTCTACACTATTATATTTCTACACATTTCTTCTTCTTTTTCTTTTTCTAGAATCATGTTGTAGCTTCTACTAGTACACATATGTTTTCTACATAATTCTAGAAGTTTTACATAATTCTAGATTTTCTTAATTCTAGAATTATCTATCTTCTACTTTCAAACATTTCTAGAATCTTCTAAGGATTCTAGATATTACTCATATGTAATTCCTAATTCTAGTAACATCTAAGATTTTATATTCTAGATCTTTCTAGAATTTGTATCATCTTTCAACACTCCTCCTTGATGCAAATTCTTGTAACTCCAAGCATGAAACGTAATTGTTCAAACTTGGCTCTTGGTAGTGCCTTGGTGAATATGTCTGCAATTTGATCTTCTGTAGTGCAGTACTCAAGTTGAATTTGTTTAGTCGCTTCAGCCTCTCTGATGAAGTGATATTTAATAGCTATATGTTTTGTTCTTTGATGATGAACAAGATTCTTCGTCATTGCTATTGCTGATTTGTTGTCGCAATAGATAGTAGTTGGTCCATCTTGTGGTTCGCCCATTTCTTCAAGTATTCTTCGTAGCCATATTGCTTGACTTGTAGTTTCAGCAGCATCTACGTATTCTGCTTCAGCTGTTGATTGTGCCACAATTGCTTTCTTCTTTGATGCCCATGAGAAAAAACCCGATCCAAGTGAGAAGGCGTATCCTGACGTACTCTTTATGTCATCTATTGATCCTGCCCAATCACTGTCGGTGTAGCAAATCAGCCTTGAGTTGGTCATGGTCTTGTACCATATACCAAACTCTCGTGCCTTGCAGATACCTTAAAATCCTTTTTCCTACTCCATAGTGAATCTGACTTGGCTTTTGCATGAATCTTGACAGAAGACTTGTAGCATACATAATTTCTGGTCGTGTAGCTGTGAGATATAGAAGGCTTCCGATCAAACTCCTGTATCGTGATACATCTACTTCTGGTGCTCCATCATCTTTCTTTAGCTTTTCGTTTACCACCAAAGGAGTAGTGACAGGTTTACATCCGTACATCTTGAATCTCTTTAGTAGAACTTCAGTATATTTCTTCTGAGAGATAAATATTCCTTCTTTTTGTTGTATCACCTCTATCCCGAGGAAGTAGTTCATCAAGCCAAGATCAGTCATTTCGAATGTTTTCATCATATCTTCTTTGAATTCTTTCATCATTTCCTTATTGTTTCCTGTATAGATGAGATCATCAACATATAAGGAGACAATGAGATTATACTGACCTTGTGTCTTGATATAAAGTGTTGGCTCACTCTTGCTCCTCCTAAATCCTTGATCGATAAAATATTTATCAATCTTACTATACCATGCTCGAGGAGCTTGCTTCAGGCCATATAGAGCTTTTCTTAGTCTTAGTACTTTTCCTTCGTGGCCTTTGTTGATGAAGCCTTGTGGTTGCTCAACATAGATCTCTTCTTCAAGTGTTCCATTGAGAAAGGCGGATTTGACATCCAGTTGGTGGATGTTCCAACCTTTTTGTGCAACAAGGGCTATTAAAGCTCTAATTGTATCTAGACGAGCAACTGGAGCAAAAGTCTCATTGTAGTCGATCCCAGGTTGTTGTGAGTATCCTTTTGCGACCAATCTTGCCTTATATTTTTGTATGGTTCCATTAGGGTTGAGCTTAATTTTATATATCCATTTTACTCCAATGATATCTTTTCCGTGAGGACAGTCCACAAGCTCCCAAGTATTATTCTTCTCAATCATTTTGATTTCTTCTTCCATGGCCTTGACCCATACTTCTTGCTTTGAAGCTTCTTCATAGCAGGAAGGCTCAATGATGGCCACGTTACAAGTTTCATATATATCTACCAAAGATCTTACACGTCTTGGTGTAGACTCTGGTGAAGTATATTCTTCTTCTTCTTGTGGAGGTGGAGAAAGCGTACCTGGATCTCCTGTTTCTTCTTCAGGTTGTTGTACTGGAACCAGGATGTTGCTTCTAACAACTTTTTCTTCTTCCCAATTCCAAAAAGCATTTTCGTCAACCTCAACATCTCGAATGATGATGAGTTTCTTTATTTGTAGGTTGTAGACTCGATAGCCTTTTGATTGTTGGCTGTATCCCAAGAATATTCTTCTTATAGTTTTGTCTTCAAGCTTATGCCTCCTCTGATCAGGAACATGTATGTAGCAAATTGATCCAAATATTCGTAGGTGTTTAGCTGATGGTTTTCTTCCACTCCAAGATTCAATAGGAGTCTTGTTTTAAACTGCCTTAGTTGGACATCTATTGAGTATATATACAGCAGTGTAAACTGCTTCTGCCCAAAACGTATTTGGCAAGCCTTTCTCCTTCAACATTGATCTTGCCATCTCCATGACAATGCGATTTTTTCTCTCTGAGACACCATTTTGTTGTGGAGAATATGCGACTGTAAGTTGTCGCTCAATACCTTCATCCTCACAGAATTTATCAAATTCGTGGGAGGTGTACTCTTTGCCTCGATCGCTCCTGAGAACCTTTATCTGTTTTCCGCTTTGCTTTTCGACAAGGGCCTTAAATTTTTTGAATATTCCAAAGACTTCTGATTTTGCTTTAATGAAGTAGACCCAAGTCATTCTAGAAAAATCATCAATGAAAAGAATGAAGTACCTGTTGTTATTAAGCGATGGAGTCCTCATCAGTCCACAAATATCTGTGTGGATTAACTCCAACAAGTCTTTTGCTCTCCAAGTATTTCCCGTAGAAAATGGTAATCTGTGTTGCTTTCCCAGAAGACATCCTTCACAAGCTTCGCTACTCTCCTTAAGGCTTGGTAGATCTCTCATCATGCCTTTTTGATGTAGTAGCTTTAAGGCATGAGTATTGAAGTGGCCAAATCTATGATACCATAGCAACGAGTCATCAACTTCTACTTTCATGACAATGTTAGTTCCTCGATTGAAGCTTATAGGAAAACTTCTATTTCTCTTGTCCATTTTTACTTGGCCAATCTCTAGATTTTTCTTATCATAGATAGTGCATGTATCTCTTTCAAAGTGAAGAGTATATCCTTTCTCCATCATTTGACCAATACTTAAGAGATTTTCTTTAAGATTGGGAACTAGTAAGACATCATTGATAAGTCTCATACCTTTCTTGGTCTCCACCATAACACTGCCTTTTTCTTTTGACTCTACCACGGTGCCATTTCCCAATCGTACTTGAACTTTGATGGAGTTATCAATTTTTTTGAAGATGCTTAGATCATTCGCCATATGGTTACTACACCCGCTGTCCAAGTACCATCTTCCTTTTGATTCATTGTCAAAACATCCCGTAGCATAGAAGAGATGTTGTTCTTTGTCCCGTTCTTCGGCAAAATTTGCTTGTTGATGATTTTTGTTGCGACACATTTTCTCTAGATGTCCAAATTTCTTACAATATTGACATTGAGGTTTTCTTCGATGCCAACAATCTTTTTCCAAGTGACTTGTCTTTTTGCAAGTGCCACATGGAGGATATTTTCCTTGAATAGTCTTGGAAAAATTTCTAGAATTTTCCTTATTCTTAGAAAGTTCTCTATTAATTTTATTTCCTCCATTTTGAGACCGTAATTTTAGTTTTGATTGAAAGACATTTTTTACTGAGTCTTCTTCACGCCTTTTCAATCTTTGTTCATATGCTTCAAGAGAGCCTATTAGTTGTGTCACCGATAATGTATATAAATATTTTGTTTGTTCAATTGCAGTTGCAATTGCATCATATTTTTGGGGAATAGAAATTAGAATTTTCTCAATAATTTTCTTATCAAGAATATTTTCCCCATAGGCTCTCATCTGACTAACTATTTCTTTTATTCTAGAATAATAATCTTTTATGGTCTCAGATTCATTCATTTTTATTAACTCAAATTCTCTTCTTAGTGAATGAAGTTTAATATTGCGTACCTCATCACTTCCTTGAAACTCCTCCTGAATTGTATTCCAAGCTTCCTTTGCACTTGTGGCACCCATTATTCTTGGAAAAATAGTGTCATCAACTGCTTGCTGAAGAGTGAATAATGCCCTTGAATCCTTCTGTTTGTTTTCCTTCAGTTCCTTCCTCTGGGCAGCTGTAAGAGTTGAGATATCTTCTGGAATAGTGAACCCATCTTTAATGACATCCCAAAGATCTTGAGAACAAAAATATGTCCTCATTTTGACTCTCTAAAAATCATAATTTTCTCCCTTGAAAATAGGGACTGGAATGGATGATGTTTGGTTGGTAGTGGCCATAGGTTGGAATTTTCTTTTGGAAGTAATGTGTAGTGGGATTGGGTTTTTAAAGGTAGTCGAAAAATTTTCTCTACGCCCAGTAGGTGACCGAACGTAGCTCTGGTACCACTGTTAGTATTTTAGGAAGGATAGGAAAGATAGTTTGATGTTTAGTAGTGAGATTTGTGTAGAAAATAGTTTTTAGAAAGAGGTGGACAAATAGGAGAAAGTTTGTATGAGGGAAGATAGTAATTGATGTTAGAAGTGTTACAAGATATGTAGGAGCTTGTATTAGATTTTCCACACATACAAAGACTTCCTTCATGCCTATTTATAGGTTTTACTTACAAGATTCTAGAATTTTCTACTAATTTCATTGTTTCTACACTATTCTATTTCTACACATTTCTTCTTCTTTTTCTTTTTCTAGAATCATGTTGTAGCTTCTACTAG